AAGGATGCATTTTTAGAGGTGAATTATTGTGTCTTGTTTTTGTACCCAGTAAAACTTTCCCAAACAAGTGCTGAGCACCTCCAGTGGCCTTGAAACTCATTTGGTGAAAGCACTCTGCCCCCCTGAAAATAATTAACAGGAGCGATTAGAAAAGAACGCAATGCTCCATCATCTTCGTTTGTTTCTTTCTTTGTTTTGTTCGAACAGAAAAGAAAAAGACCTACCTCAAGGTCCTCCAGCCTGATTTTGCATCCTCCTCCTGCTGCTGAAAAGAGGCAAGGGCTATGGGCGAATTGCACAGCTGATTTTTCAATAAAAATATTATTAAGTGCACACGTTGATGTATTAATTAAATAAACCCTCAACTGCTTCCCTTTCTGTTATCTTTTGTAACACATTTTGCATTCCCATCCCCAGTGGCTGATTTTCAAATGCCCACCCTGTAAAACTCTATCAAGGAGATCAGCAAGATGAGCAGACGTTCATTTCCTTCTGGGACATCTCAGTGAAAGAGGGAATGCACATTAACCTGGCCATGACAAGAGCAGAATAAAATTTGCCTTTCAGAGGTAGAGAATGATCCAGTAAGAAAGAAACAGTCAGAGTGGGTTGGAAGGACATTTCTCATACCCTGACACATACATGACAAAGTTTCTTTTTCTAGCACCTTTCCAAACTTGATTGGCCCCTCAGAGACCCGAGGCTGCAAGTTATGAGTCTAATCCTGCCAGCAATGAGAATGTTCCCAAGGACAGGAAAATCTCCTCCTGGGAAGTGCTCAGATCCTTCAACACAGCCCAAAGGAGATGCGAGACACTGCAGGTGTTTCTCCAGTGGGAGAAGCTCCATTGTGGAGGCAGCAGGAGATTTGCTGGGAACACTGGCCAGAAACCCACCCATCAGTGAGATTCTAGTTGAGATCTGGTCCACACTTCAGCTCCCGTGTGCCACAAGAAAGCAGAGACAGATGAGGTTTTCACCATCCCTGTTTGAAAACCACAGAGATGCAGCTCCGATCACGATCAGTAGCATGGTGGGATGGGTTGGGGTTGGATTTGATGGTCTTAGTGGCCTTTTCTAACCTTCATGATTGTATGATTCTATCAGGCTTCTTGTCAGACCCAGCTCACAAACACATTCAGAACTCAGAGAAACCCAATGCCATCTTTGTATCTCTTTTATATTTAGCTGAAATGGCTGTCAAGGACCTCGGGCATGACTGAGATTTTGTGGTGTCTGGTGCTACGGAAGGCCAACCCCTGTGTGGGTGATTATTGTCCCTTGTCTTTCTCCCACATGTTCAAACACAGAGGCACGGGTTGATGGGTTTGGGGCAGAAAGCTGTGTATGTGGACATAGAGAAACTCCCCAGTCCAGATGTTAATTGCATCTGGGATGAGTGACGCAGCAGCTTATTGATACCGTTTTCTCCTTTTCTACATGCAGTTGAACAGTGCCAGCCTGTGATTATTTTAACTGACTGATGCACAAGGAAATCCTTTCATTATAGGGAAGAACCGCATCTGAGCAAGTGAGTTTAGAAACACAGAGACATGAGTGCAGCATTCCTGCATCCTCCAAACAGCACAGAAGGAAGGGAGATGTTGGGGAGAAACCAGAAGGGGACATTAAGGAGGGATCAGTGCTCCTCTGAAACAGCAAACAGAATTAAAATGGAAATGCAGAGGGAGGTTGAAAAGTCAGCTGCTAAATGCTCTGCAAATGAATGTTGTTAAATATTTAAATTTCACAATCAAGCACATTTTTGTTTATTAAAAAGAAAAAAAAAAGTAAGAAAGAAATGCCCAGGAGGACTCTGCATCTGAGTCATTAAGCAGGGTAATGACATTTCCACCTCTTCCCTCTATAAATAATTAGAAGTGAATCATGTGCAATGGAGGAATAGCACTGCGGTTGTGCAGGTATGGGATGGATTGGCCCAGCCTTCCAGGCTCCATGTCATCCCCCACAGCTCAAAGCAGGGCACCAAGCTCAGGGACGTTCTAACTGCCAGGAAAGGGGTTCCACCTCCACCAGTATTGCCCAGTAGCTACCAAGAAGCTGTTAGTTGTGCCAGGCTGCTGAGAGGTGATGGGGACACACCTACCAGCATGGCTTTCTGCTCTTCCAATGGTCGTTGTTCACCTCAGCTGAGAACGGAGGTATGAATACGTATAAAAATGAGTTAATCTTGTATCTTGTTTCAATATTTTCAATTACAACGAAACACCGGGGGCTGACCTGAAATTTGTTTACTTGTTTTATTTTCTCATCATTTCCCAGGGGAGACTTCAGCAGAGCCAACAGGATGCAGCAGGCACAGCCGAGGAACTGTTTTTTTCACGCAGCTTGGCTGTTAACTTGAAATGGTTGTTCTGAGGTACTACGAAAGGCACCTCGTTTTTGGTATTCAGAAGTTTCTACAAACACCAAGCCACTTCCAAGCCTTTTGAAGCAAAGCTCAGCTTTGCAGAATCGAACTGGAGCAGATCTCCTCCACCAGCTCTCATCCACTGCGGCTGTTAAGAAGAGCTGTGCCTTCTCCCACTTCCAACAAAAGCCATAGCGACATCAGTATGAGCAAACACTAAAATGAAATTGCCTATAAACAGTGAATTCCTCAACACAGACTCCATCCAAATCATCATTTAAATACGAATTTCCAAACTTATCTCCTGCCAAAAAATAAATGCATTTAAACAGTCCTGAGCTGTGTGTACTATAACACCTTATTTGCCCATTCTAATGGGCCTGGAAAGGAGATAAAACTCTCAGAGAGCATTCCAAATTTCTCTTCCATGCTGATATTTACAAAGATCTGAATCAGAGGGAGAAAGAGTAGAAAAGTGGTTTCTGCTTTGAAGCTTTGAACACTTAGGGTTAGATCAGATAAAGGGCTTGAGCAGGGGGGTGGTTAGCAGCTCTGGACTTTCATCTCTCAATCCTACCTAAGTGCTGCTGAACCCTAGAAGTGCCTGAGCTCTGAATCACACTGTTTGACATGAAGGTATTTTAAGCATGCATTTATGTCCAAAAGTTTGACTCTAGCCTCTCTGCCAGCTTCCACCCATGGTTTTAGGGACTCAGGTGGTCGCCATGCAATGCAAAGCCAGTGAAAGTAAACCATTTGTTCAGGGTTTTGCATGGAAAGCTCCCATGGAACTATACCCATGGCTTTTGGAAGTCCTGAATTTTGGAACTGTCTTTTGGAAACCCCGCTCTGTGTCCTTCTGGTAATAAAGCTCTCTCAAAGCAGGCTTGTTCCTTGAGACACCGAGTGGGAGGAGGGCTGAAAGGAGAAAACAAGGCTGGGAGACCCGTGCTGCTGGTTCTGAATCATTCATGGAGCCCAGTTCTCTGTTCTTCCCATTTCCACATTATTTGTTGGGAGCTCAGTGAGCAAAACTACAAAGAGCATCCTTCTGCCCTGGAGGGAGAACAGCTGGCCAGGCTGTGCACGCATCTCTTCTCCCTTGCACATGGGAAACGCTCCCTTTCTCTCTGACTAGACTTCAGGACAGTTCTGTGCATTAACATTATTATTCATGCATGATCCAGAAAATGTTATCTACAGAATAACTGTCTGCATTTAATAAAATTTTCAAAGCTACACTGGTACACCGTTCACATTATTTTGTTCTGAGTGACAGATTAGTAGTGCAGAGGGAACACTCGGTTCTTCTGCTCATCAACACAAAATAAAACCAGGGTGTTTTGCAGGGATCTGGTGGCGCATCAATGAATTTGTTCCAATCTCTTGAGCATGTGTCCCACGGGCAGTATTTTATTTTCCACATGGTAGCAACCTCTCTCTTTGGAGATGAACAGGCCAGCAATGTAACTGAGCTATCCTGCTTATGACGAGAGAAAACTGCCTGGAGGCATTCCGTGCTCTCAATGCAGTAATCAATACAGCAGTGATGACGCGACATGGATGGCCATGGATGTGTGTGACACACACATAGGGATGGGTGAGCAGCCAGTGCCAACACACGGCATCAGAGGAGGGATCTGGGGGGAGTTTGCCACACTGCAAGTATATTTGTGTTCAACTGTTTTTTTCCCTTTATTTGTCTCTTCTACGATCTTAAGGTCCCTTCCAACCCCTACGATTCTGTGATTCTGTGATCATAGATAGAATGGCTTGGGTTGGAAGGAACCTTAAAGATCCAAGTCCAGGCCACTGAAAAAAAAAAATGAGACATTTCACAAATTTATGTCCCATTTACTGTCCATTGGCATACCCTCAGGTGTTATTTAATGCTTTGAAATCTACCTGTTTTCTCAGTCCCGGCTCAGTCTAGCCCTGTGCATCTCTCAGGAAGAATCCATCCCATCTGATGGAGCTGGTGGGCTCAGAGCCAGAGAAGTGTCTGTGATCTCAGTGCTGCAACAATGCCTCCTTTGTCAGTGCTTTTTAAGGGAAAAGCTGCTAAATGAACTCTAATATTGCATGCCATAGGGGAAAGTTTAGAAACACAGCATAATTAGGAGTAGGAAAAGCTTTCTGGTTTCCCTTACATTAGGGATTTGCCACAGCTAGTTTCTCCTGAACCACAGAAATTTACTTCCTGGCACTGAGTGAATGGTAGAAAAAACTTTCCACAATGAGGCACACACGTGACACCCCAGGGCTCATAAACAACAATTGCTACAGGATAAACCTATTTCCAGGGTCTGCAAACTCCTCCCCCCAGCTGGCAGAGCCCTGATTTTCTATGTTGTGATTCAGATCTTCAGTAAGGTCCTCGGTGTGTTTCATGTGTTAAACACCTATCAGTGAAAACACAGCAATATGGAAGGTGGGAATAGGAGACCTCTGCAGAATAATGACAGATCTGCTTGGAAAAATTACTTAATGGGATGCATTTGGGCTGTGTGGATCTGCATCAAGCCCACTGCCCTTGAAAGCAGCATCAGCTGCACCTCCCTGGGAGCAAGTGGGTGGGTATATAATGGGATGCAGAGGGGCTATAGGAGGTTTGCAGGTGGTGACTGGGTGGAGCTGGGGGATTTTGTGCAGCTGGCCTGAGAAACAGTTCCAGCACTTGAGTGTGAACCAGGAGGGAGCATGAAGAGGATGAAAGGTCCCTGAAGGGAAGCCAGGTTGGTGTGGCACCTCTGTGGTCAGAAGTGTGGGTGCTGAGGTGTGGGTGAAAACTGCCCTGAGTGGGGGCTTGACTCTCTGGAACGCCAGGGATTGCATCCCTGAGTGACCTTGATGTGAGGCTTCCCTCCTGTAGGCATAAAGAAAGATTTGCTGCAATGATTTGGGATTTCTAAGCAAGGCTTCCTAATGGTCTATATACAGGCTTGGAACTGGGGAGTTTCTGCTCACCCAGGGTCCCAGCAACCATACTAAAAAGTATCTGAGAAGTATTTTGCATGTGCAATGCTCTGAGTGTCGCTCTCTGGTGGTGCACACTTCCCTGGCAAAATGGGACCCTGCAAATCCCACCCAAAATATTTCAGTGTGTCTATGTGGCTTAGCTTTCAAGCAATGGTATCTCAGCAGCTCTAAAAAAACTTGGGATTTACGGGGGCCTTCCACAAACCTGGGTAGATCATGATTGTACCCAAGTATAGCTGTGCTACTGCTCAGCGATGCTGGAGCTGGCCAAACAGGGAGATGCTTACCTGGCTTGCATTTGTGTAAACACTCTATATGTCTTTCCATAGCATATTTCTCTCTCTGCCTTTCAAAACTGAGTATCTTCACAATCAGATCTTGCTTACCTCGCTCTGAGTGTGTTTTCTTGACTTACAGTCTTCACAAATGCAAGAAGCTTAAATTTTTAAGCATTTGCAACCAGTTTTCCTTCCATCTGCCAGCATCTTGGAGCCAGATGTAACTGGCTCAAAGAGTTCGGAGTGTGTTTTTCTGTTCAATATTTGAAAAATGGTTTTGTTCGGGTTGCTGATGGCTCTTTGAGCAGAGTAAATATTTGATGGTGGCTAGTGCTGTGAAAACACGTGCTGGGTTTTAGTTGTGAAAAAATAATTTTATTAAAAGCATGCAAGCTATTAACGTATTAACTGCTTGCTGGAGTTGTATTTGGTAATGGTCAGAAAAGGCCAATGGCAGAAGTAAGAAAAATAGCAGCTCGTAGAGACCTGAGCTGCCTGGCAGTCACTATGAATCTTCCATGTTGAATGCCAGGGGCCAGTGCCAGTTGCCTGCACACCAGGAGTTCTGTTTGCTGGCTCCAGAAGCTCCTCGTTCATCATCTCCTGCAGATGCTGTCCCTGCAGAGGGTCTGATGCTCTCTGCCTGATGGGCACCAGAGCTCACGCAGCTCCAGCATGTGCTCTGTGGTGGGCACTGAGGAAGCAGGTTTCCATTATCAGGCTATTATCTTGATGCCCTGAGCCCAAAATAATCTGAGGAGGCCGATCTGGGTCTGCTGGCAGGATGTAGGGTGGTGCAGCATTCCTGTGGTGAGGCTCATACACCTCTAATGCCTTTCCCAGCCTCTCTGCAGTCCCATCTGTCTTGAGGTGGCTGTGCCAAGACCCTGTGGCTATGGCCACCCACGCCTGCAAAGAGCCAAGCAGTGCTGGTGTTCCTTCCCTCCCTTCAGGGTCTGGGAAAGCCCTTCTGGCTATTGCACAGGGACTGGTCAGAGGCTGTGAATAATATGGTGCTCTTCCCTAAAAGATGGAATTGCTCTCACACAGAGGTGTGCATCCCCATTCTGAATGCCTCCTCTGTAATATATTAGACAGGCTGTCCTTTTCACAGATTTTATACTTCTAAGCTGTTCTTAGGATTCCTATGTCTCTTTGTGATGCTCCCTAGTCTGGGAACACTGTACTGCAAGTAAAGATTCTTGGGCACTCTTTAGTTCAATTACTATGATATAATCTAGAAAACACTGAGCAATCCATTCCTTCTCCTCTTTGAACAATCTTATTTCTCCACAAGTCTTTCTCATCTACAACTTCAGAACAATTTACTGCAGCTTGGGCTTAATACTGCATTAAATGAAGTTCAAAGGTGGAGAAAATGCTAAACGAAGCCTAATCCTTTCCTAGCATATATAAATATTTCTAAGTAGCTCAGTATTTGCAGCAAATTGCTTCCCTGGAGACACTCTCCTGGACTATAACCACATATACATTTCAAAGTCTTTAATATTGACTGAGCGCTGGAAGAGGAAACTGATAATGAGCTGGGGGGTATCGTGACACTGAGACTGAATCTGCATGGATGCTGCCAGCGTGAGCCTCTCTAGCCACTGGCCCAGATCCATGGTGTAAGAAGAAATCCATGGTGTCTCATAATGAAGGTGCCCAGTGTGGCTCACTCCAGGGTGCAGTGACACTGGCACCTGCCTTTGTCATCTGGCTGGAGTGGATGAAACGTGACTACTGGGGTTGCTTGGACTGATCTAACATGATAGATTGCCTGAGGGTGAGATGGGAGAAAATCGCTTGCAAAAGCTTTTTTGGTATCTTTGTAATGCGTTCTGCTCTAATGGTTACAGCAGCTGCTTACTTGTAGTGTTATTTCCACGTGAAATGGGGACAATGCTGCTTAGCCCAGGAGCAGGCTTGCTCCTCAGCAGAGAGAACTTTGTTAACCTCTGCTTAAATCCTCTCTCCAGCTGTTTTGCTCTGGAAAGCAGCAACGTTTTGCAGTGATAGAAGGACTGGTGACATGGATCATGCTGCTGGAGGAGGGTGAGCTGCTTCCCAAGGCACAGGGGATCAGAGCCACATGTCCTGTGGGTGGGGAAGGAGCAGCTGCAGGAGGATGGCACAGGGACAGGGCTCAGTGATGAGCAGCACTACAGCAAGGGAGCTAATGATGCTTCAGAGATTGGTGCATGCTGAACTGAGATTGAACCAGAAGAACTGTTCTCAGGAAGGCTTTGTCTGAAAAGTGACAGCGGCTGGAGTCATTCACAGCCCTGCTGAGGAATGAGGATCCAGTATGTCTAACGCTGAGCTGTGAAACGCTGACTGGAGCTGACTTTGTGACGGTGCTTTCTTTTCTTCTGGGGCTGCTTCTGACACTCACTGTCAGGATGCATGAGGGTTTCCACATGCTGGAGGCATTAGGGGCCTGTGCCAGGAGGGCTGAGATCCTCCTGATACAGAACTGGCTGCATGGTGGTCTCTGCTTTGCTTTCCAGGCAGGAAAATAGGACTGCAAGGACACACTGGGGGGCACAAACCTCTTCACACCCGCAGTGCTGAATGCTCTCTGCAAATGACTTTGAAAAAAGCTCTTTGAACCAATTCCACATAAGCTACAGAGAACTTCATTATAAAAAAAATCTTTGTTTGCTCTGGAATAACTCAGAGTTTGGGGTACTATTTTTGCTTGCAATTTTTGTGATCAGCTCTCAGTCTCTGTAAATGCCTCCATGGGAGCAATGTGCTTTTTTTTTTTTTTCATTTTTAATTGTGATACTGTGTGAAACCACACTGTGCTGAATACCTTGCCTTTGTGCCACTGAGAAATAAAGCAGCAGCCCTATGCTGGCACGAACACGTCTCTCCTGCCCATCCCAGTGGGATGTCCTCATCGGTCCCTCCTGCTGATGAAAGCTGTCTGTGTCCTGCTTGCTCAGCTCCTGGGGAACCTCCATCAGCCTGGGGGAAAAGCCACAGCTGGATGTGCCCACTTTACCTTTAGCTCCTTTCTCAGGCCCACTGCTGACATTAGGAAGGACGCAATGCTCCTTGTCCGAGATGAATGGCCGTGTCTCACAGCTATCTGTCTGGTAAAGGCTTGCTTTGTAGAGATGTGAGACATGGCTGTAAGCTGGTCTAACCACTAGCCTTAGTAGTGATTAATCTGTGAGACTGATACATGGTTTTTATTCTTTCCATTTTAGAGTCTCTCAGACTACAAAGGAATCTGGAAGGATTTGATAGCTGAGGCTTTTCTTGTCGCAAGAACAAAGGGTAAGTAGCTATCTCTTTCAGCAGCCTAGAGAGGCTTCTAGCCAAGGCTGAGAGATTAAGAGAAGCTACCTGGCAGGCAAGTTGGCTTTTAAAGGGAAAAACAGGCTTTTAAGCTTTTGAGACAAGGGAGAGCAGAGCTGAACACACAGGGAGCAAAGAGCGAAGCAGAGGTGTTTTGTATGCTCTCCTGGTTGCAAGGGTAATGGAGTAGGAAAGAATTAGCAAAACCCCTTTGTTTTGTTTTTTTGGACCCTTGTAGCATAACAAGTAAATGTTATGTAGTACAGGCATGTTTTAATTGCTCTTGATTGCTTCCGACTCACTTGCTGCCTCAGCTGTTTCAGCTGTAATGAGGAGTTTACCTCTGTAAGTGACCTCAGTTTCCTCTGCCTCCACCTTCATTAGCGCATAAATATTTCAGAGGTGAGCACAAAGCCCAGGTATCCTACAGCTGCAGCGATGGATATAAGCTCAGAAGTGCCTGGATAACTTTTCCAGGAGCCCCATTTCCTTTGAGCTGTCTGTGTGCTGCAAAGTCACTCGGCACCCTCAAAGCTCAGTGCAGTGATGTCTGTGCACAAGGTCAGAGGGAGCTGCAGCTCTCAAGGACAGCTGCCTCTGGAGGAGGAAACAGAAGTTGTTCAACTCGATTGTAGCAAACACTCAGTGATTCTGCAAGGTTTGATCTCCTCATAGGCTGTGCCTGAGATAGAGACTCCCCTTTCAGGTGTGTGATTGCTATGGGAGCTCCCTGGCTTTGCAGCACTGTCAGTCTGCAGCATCTCTAGAACTGCTGTGTGGCTTGGCTGATGAAGCAGGAAAGCTGGCCTTACTTGGGAAATCCTCCTGCCCTCTCTCACTGTGAGTGCTTGATTTCACCAGACCCTGAACAGCCCCAGTGAGTTGCTGTGAGGGGTTAAGGCACTTTCTTTCCAGCCGATTTTCCTCTTGTAGGAGAGCACAGGGAAGCTGCAGAGCTTGATACAGTCAGCTGTGTCCTTCTGCTGTTCAGTCACCTTCCAGGTTACTTTTCCTCCTTCCTCTGCTGCCCTGGGCACTGGAGCAGGGAATGGAGAAATGCAGCTGTGCCTTCCCTGGCTGCCATCTCTCACTTCTGGGTTACTATCACTGTGGCCAGAGGGAAGTACACAGCAGGAAGATGCCTGTATTGCAAGCTGTCATGCTGTGGCTGAGCCAGTGCTCAGGGATTTCATGCAACGATGCACTGGTCTCGCCAGGGATGGAGTGCGATCTCCCCGTGGTTTGAACAGACCTCCAAGGAGCACAGCCTACTGCACTTGTGTTGAAAGCAATGCCTTGAGCAGAATGCCTATGTCTCCAGGCTGGCAAGAGTGTAAGCTTGGTGCTATGCTCAACTTGGGGTCTGTCCTGAGGTTGCTAGCTTCGCAGTGGGGGGAAATGTATCTCATATCTGTCCTGTGCTGTCCCTCATGCTTCTGCTATTAATATGTGGCACTGAGGCTGCTGCAGACCACCCTTTGGCTTTTCTAGGGCAGTCTTGATTTGTGACAAAACACTTATTTGCTGCTCACTGGTGCTTCAGAAGGCAAGCTGTGCCAAGACCACAGGTACTGGTAACCTTCACTTAGGCTGTAATTGCTTTGTTGAAGCTGTCAAGAACACAGGTTTGAACTTTTTATTTAAAGCACTGTCATCTGAAGAACGCAGACTCCCCTTGTCCCATGCCTTCAGGACTCAAAGGGAAAGGTCTCCAAACTGTGTGCTGGTAGAAGGTGCTGCATCAATTAAAAGCTTGGCTGCCAAAGCAAGCAGTGCTTCTAGACCTGCATTTATGTCAGAACACAACTCTTGTCCCTTCTCCTGGAGAAACCAGGCATTGTACTAGCTTGGTGTGGGAGCTGCAGCAGCCTGAACCCACAGCTGGGCCCATTCTTGCTCTTGCTGTGAAGCAGCACCTCCCTGGGCAGCTGTTGTGAAAACTCCAAGAAGATTGCTTTCCACTGCTCCATTCAAAGAGGAGAGATTAAATCTTCTATCTAGCTAACTCTGGGGCTCACAAATGGTGAGAGGAAGTCTGGAGGCTGCTTGCTAGTGGATCTTCAGGAAATGAAGAAATTGGCTCTTGCTATTACATGGCAATCTTCTGGGGTTTGTGCAAATAGGTCTCCCTCGGCAGCAAGTGCTGCACAGGCTCTTTGCTCTCATGGCCATCTAATTAGACTGCTCCACAAATTGCGTTTTCACCAGAACCATTTTTATATTATGTCCAACATGGTTAGTTAGTTTGGGGAGCGCTTATTAGGATTTAAAACAATGAGCTACTAATTATCTCTTGCTCAGGGGGTGAGTGGGGAATGCAACCTTTTGTCTCTCCTCCTAAATGAGGAAACTGAGGAGCTGTGCAGGGAGCTGTGCTGCCTGCAAAGCCGCCTTGCTCCCTCCTGGGACATTGGCATTCATGCCTTGCTGCTCTCCCCCCTGTGCTGAGTGGCACAGATGCATCTTCCACTTTTTTTTTGAAGGAATACATCCACACATGTACTGTTGAAGTAGTTTAAATGGTTTGAAAGCACTCTTCTGAGCGCTCAACCATCCTGGTTTTCTTCCAGGTTCAGGTTGGATGTTAGGAAAAAGCTTCTCTAACAGAGCACTCCAACACTGGCACTGCTGCCCAGGGAGTGGTGGAGTCACCATCTGTTCCATAGCTGTGGAGATATGGCACTGAGGGATGTGGTCAGTGGGCATGGTGGGATGTGTTGAGGTTGGGCTTGGAGGATCTTGAAGCACAGCAGTGTGAGGAGCTCTCCCCTGGTTGGCTCGTTGGGCCTATGGGATAATCAAAGGCCTTTGTTAGACCACAGCATGGGCTCCATGCTCTTTTTTGTGTTTTATTCTCCTACTGAAGATTACCCCAAGAGACCTCAGCCTTATGTTCAGTATTGGTGCTTAACCTCTAATGAGTTGGTCAGAGGCTGAGTTAGCCCATGGGCTGTCCCCTGGGGAGCTGTTAAGGTGCCTTAAGCCACCCTGATCACCGGGCTGTTGGCCTTTCTGGCTTATAAGCTGTTAATAGGGGACAGCAGAGAAATAAGTGCAAACCTCTGCCATGAAGTGTGTCTACAGTCAAGCCCTGCAGAGCTGCACGAGTCCCCAGCAGTGCTGTTTGTGACCTTCTACTGATGCCTTTTTGTGGGCAGTGGCCTGTAAATGCTGTGCTTTAAACCCCTGGCTCTGCAGTAAAACTACAGTGAGTGGTTTTGTGTTCCTGCCTCTGACTGTGGTCTTCACAGTTTGTTATGTAAAGAAAATTCTGAAACAGTGAATGCTCTTAAATAGGAGAGATGGATGGAGGCTCATGACTGGGGAAAGTAGGGATTGCATCACTCATGAGGAAACCAAAGCTTATATGCCAGCAGGCTCATTCTGCCTGCTGTGTTTGTGTCCATTCCAGGGTGTTTTTAGGGTAAGCAGCATCTTTCAGAGCAATTTTCAAAGCCACAATGAACTGTAAGGAAACCCTGACAACGCAGCTGAAGGTACATCATGCCCTATGGGTCTGAGCATGTGAATTGCCTTGATAATTGTCTTGTTCCAATGTTTGAGTCAGTTTAATATTAAACTTATTCAAATAGTGAGGTCTCTGCCAGTGAAATGGATTTACATATGTCATTTTGTTCTGCCAGCCCAGAATCCCCTGGGATGCTCTTGTAGTCATGCTACCCCCCCTGCCACAGCTTTTCTCATTGTAAACAGCAGCCCTAAGTCAACAGCTTTGATTTAGGGCTGGGCATGGCCAGCGCTGCTTGGTCCTGTGCTGTCACAGATGAGAGCACTGAGTTCTGACCTTGTGCAGTGTGACAGCAGCACGAAGAAAACCTTTGCCCCTTGTTTGCTTTAGGAGGAATTGGAGGTTCTCTTGAAGCCCCAAATTCACCGTGGGGACCACCTCATCCACAAGATGCTCCAGCTGGAGTCAAGACCAGGGCATTACTCATCCTTAGCCCTGTGAAATTGGAGCAGTTGGGAAATTTCAGCCAGATTGATGTCTTTATTTATGCTGAGTGGTACTTTATACCAGCCTGCTGAAGCAAATCACCATGATTAAATGTCAGAAGCTGGTTTCTTGTAACCTTTGGTGAGAAAACTTTCCTGTCTGGAGGAGTATTTCAAGGATGAAATACTCTCTGGTGTAGCGTGTGAGTTTAAACCCTCTTGAAATAAAATGCCCTCTGAACAGGGTTTAAATACAAGTGAGGTGACACACAGACAAGTATGTGTCTCTTGTCTAAGAAAAACCTCATTTCAGATGGGCAGCTAAGCTGTTTTCATGCTGAAAACCCTTCCTCTGCTCCCCAATGGGATGGCTGCAAGTATCTCTGATGATCTTCAAAAGAAAGCAACTTTGTGGCTTGTTTTTGGTTGTCCTTGTTGTCCAGAGCAGCTCAGGTCTCTGGTTCTACAGACTTTATCATGCCATGACTCAACAGCAGCTGCTTGGAGCCTCACCAGCGCTGCTGAAGCTGCTGTAAATGCATGATGCATCCATAGCATTGCAGTGGAGTAATTACAAGGATGAACCCATTTCTGCACTGCTTGGTGGATATACATCTGCATCCACGTCAAAGGCAATGATGTGTGCTGGGCTGTGAGTCTCTCTGAAGCATCTATGGGACCATTTGTGACACCTGGGTCCCAACTTGGGATCCCTGTCTGCACTGCCCTGGGGCTGTGCTGGGAGCTATGAGGGCATGCTGTCATTAGGATCTTTTGCGAAGGGTGATCAAAGAAGTGTCCCTGCTTGTCAACCCTGGGCCACCTAAGAAATGCTGATTTGTGAGGTATTGCTTTGGATTGTCATTCTTTTTTCCTCTGCCTCATTTTTAATCTTAGATATTAGGACTCTCTTGCAGTTCCTACACCCACCTCTTCCCTAATGCTGTACAAATGTTCTCTAAGTCAGCCAGAAATCTCTTTTGTCATTTAACTTTGTGATTGACTGCTAATAAGTTACAATTCCCTGATAACTGGAAATTGTAAATCTACCTTCTCTCATCCTTCATGCAGTCTTCCAGGAATCAAAATCTATATCCTCAAGTACCATAAATCTCCTGTCCTCCATTAGCTCCAAGTCGGAAACACAGGCAGCCCAGTTCCTTACCTCTTCTCTGGATCTAAGGAACAAAAGGACTCAAAAGACTGTCTTTACTTTGCAGGTCACACTTAAAATAGCTCTCCTGGTCTCTCCAGGAGATTGATACTTAGCAGGGAGGCACAAAAGTATTGCTGCCTTCTAACAAATTACAAAGGCATGACAGAAGTTGTCTAACAGGGTCATCTTATTTATGGGATTAATGACACATCTGAAGCCAGTTGTCTCATCTGGCAAGAACTGTCCTAACAGAGGACCCAGGGGGTGGCTTATAAAGCCCCCTCAAAGCTGCCATGGTTGAGTTGCAGGAAACAATTACTTTAGGTAGGTCAAAAGTAGGAAACAAGCTATCAGTGACAGTGATCAATAGTTAAATATCATTACTGGAGAACAAGTGCAGATCAGATGGTGCCAGGCTGCTTCCAAATGCAAGGGTTGGCTAGGGAAGAAAAGACAGCCAAAAAGCAGTGATAAACTGTTATGGGAAACGTTGCTACCTGTCAGCTCATCTTCAGGCATGTGCTTGTGTCTTCCTGCTCCCTCCTCTCCCAGGCAATAAAGATGTAGGGACAACTGTAGGGACAACTCCCTGGGTGCTGCAAGGCTGGGCTGTCCCCATGGCACATCTCCCTGAGCCCACTGCCTTCACAGGTGGAGATCAGGGAGACCTCTGAGTTGGTCAGTGGAGGTGTAACTCGTCCCTCATCTGCAGGGTTCATCAGTGAATTTAGCCAGAAGCCAAACAAGGCAAGAAGGCAATTAAGCTATTGATTCAAGATGATGTTGGGAAGAAGCCTGCAATCAGGCTGTGCCAATAAAGCTTCAATCAATAAAGGTTGATAAGTTGTTGTCTGTAGTTCTGGTTTAGGCAGGAGCTTGGTGGTTTCTGTTATTCAAGTTAACTTGCTTTTGGAGCATTTCATTGGGAGAATTTGGAGTGTGGAGTTTGTTGGCCCTGGGATTTGTATGGGGATGCCTGGAATCATTGGGTAGTGCCTATCAGGGGCTGTATGTGTTTTCAAGTAGCTGCTAACACATTGGGATTCCAGCACTGTGCAGCCATTAACCACTCACAGTTCTGGTCCTTTCATGCAGATTTATACTGAAATGCAACTTTCTGAAGCTGAGCTCTACATTTGGACTCCATAAAGTATTCTCTTATGTATTCTGATAGCTGAAGAGCAAGCATACGTTGTCTCTGGATTGGGACTTTTGATGAAGTCCTGGTGTGGAGCTTTGTTCCAAATGGAACTGAAGGGGATTTCTTCTAACTGTAACGTGGATTTTCTCTGGGGTGCAAATTCTGCTGTTCAACCAGTGCCAACGAATAAGCTGTCAGAAGTTCAACACAGCAGATTGCTTTTTTTTTTTTCTTTTTCCCCCTGTGTTCACATGGGTGTACTACACAGTATTGTAAAGTAAATCCCTGGGCTGCTCCAACTAACGTGCTCCAGTTTCGTTGGCATTTGGCCTACTATTTCAGAAAGGAAAATGTCACTTCTGACCTAAATAAGATTTTGCTTCTCAGAGGCTCTGGGGTGAAAACCTGCTTCCAGTTGAAACCTAGAGGCTGTGCTTGCATGGATTAGAGTGGAGTCAGCTCCATGTTTTCAGTGTAACCGTGAGCCAATTAAAGGTAATAAGATTCTTAGGACAGTGCAGTTAGTAATGAAGGGTATGACTCCGAGTTTCAGGTCTGTTCTTAATGAGCCCATTGGAATATGGATGCATTGGGGAACTTCTGTGTCTGGACTGGGATGGGAAAAGGTTTTCTTCTGGCTTTTCCCATTCAAGCCAGCCAGCGAGCAGATGCTGCTTTTCAACTGAAGGCAGATCCCCAAAATCTGAAAGGTGTAGAATAAGATGAGAGATTGGCCAGAAAACTAAACTTGGGGAGAAAGAAGGATAAACTGTCTAATCCTTCCAAGTAAGCATGAGAAGAAACACTCTTATCTTTACATGGCATAAATGTCATTTTATGGACTATCTTTTTAGAACAAATATCTTTGTATGCTTGATACGAGGATTCATTTCAGAGATGTGCTGGTGCTGTGGAGGACAGAGATGGGATCTGGATGCTGGGGTCAGCCTCTGTCAGGCTGAGCTGGGGGCCTGGATATCAAATATGAGCCCTTATTGTTGTGCAACTCCAGGAAGGGAAAAAACTGAGTTCTAGGAGGGTTTTTTGAAATGTGGCTTGTGGGGTAGGTAAGCTTTGGGACTATTGGGTCCCTGTTCTCTCTTATTAGCCTCAGGCTGTGAAGTTGTGTTTTGGTTAAGGAATGATATCCCCCTTTACCTGAAAGTCAGCTCTTCAGGTGCAGGTGGCAAAAAGAATGGAGATGAGTGCTTTTGGGGATTTGAAAGGAAAAAAAAAAAAAACAACCAAAATCTAAAAAATGAACCTCTTTTCAGGTATAGTTATCCCAAAGAAATGGGAAATAAAATGGGTGAAGGTGGAACAGATCTTAACTTAGCAGAAGTGTGTGGGACTTCTTTGCACCTGTAACCTTGCTGCTGCCTTTCTCATGCAGGGGCATGAGATCCCAAACTCCCTGAGTGAGATGCTTTGTGGAGTGGCAGGGCATGAAGCATGGAAAGAAGGAAAAACGAGATTGACTTGGTGAGAGGAAGTGTGACAGCTCCTCTTCAAATGTGACAGAAAGGGGCCAGGCACATACAGCCACATTTATTTTGACTCTTTCGTTGGCTGAAATGAGAAGGATTTCTCCTGAATGTGCTGCATTTCCTTTTTTTTTTTTTTTTTTTCCCTTTTATAACCTACCCTACGAATAAGGCTTTGGCCATTTTAAAAGCTGACATGCTAATAAAAGACTATTAAATCCTGCCACTTCCTCTACAGGGGAGGAATAAGTCAAGACAGACATGACCAATGAGAAGGAAAGAAGGCTCCAAACGTGATGGTTTATTAAGCATTTCACCCTCGGTGTATTTAATATGTATGAGGCTACTGTCACTGTCCTACTAATGCTCTTTCAGATCACAGTGACAATGGAAAGGAGCCCTAAAGTGGAGCAGAGCGCATCCCATGTGAGTGACGTTGCCAGGGATGCTTCTGGCCATATCAATGTGAAGGGAAGGACTGGGGAGCTCCCAACTCACAGCAAACAGCACAAAGTTTCTGTTGGCTTGGGTAAGTGGGTCTGATGCTGCATCTCCTCTTCTCTGTGCTCTGGTCACCTGAGGAAGAAATGATTTTTGGTCAGGACCTACACACATAAGCACAGTGTGTGTCAGAAGCTGGGGCCAGCCTGCAGGTCTCTCACCCTATTTCTTAGGGTCAGGAAACAATTTTGTCTCATTTGACCCCCTCTTCCTCCCACTGCTATTCCACACTTATCTGTGAACAGATTTTTTTTTTCCCCTCGCTTCTGGCACAATGCTTAGCAGATATTTCCTACCAGCCTTGGCCAAGCGATAATGCTGACCAGAAGAGGAGGCAGACCAATTTTCCAACTAACAAAGATAAATTTAAATTAAATTATGCTGGACTGTCCTGTTACAACACCAAAAACGCCTCCCTGAACTCAGCCTTGCAGATTATCAGGAATAAACACAAGGTTGCCCAGAGCTGGTAACCCCACTGAAAAGGTTTTGTGACCCCATTTCAGGTTGAAAACCTCAGTTTGAGAAATGCTGAGCCCTCGGAAAGAAGAAAAAGCAAACTTGCTTATAGTGGGCTGAAGTGAAGGTTTGCTTAGGAAGACGAAGGCCCAGAGCTTTTTCTGAAGTTACATAAACACAAAGTTTGGATGAGTGAAGCCAATTGCCTGCGTTGCTTGCTGTGTATTGTGGGTGTTCTACAAGGAAATGTGAGATTTGACTTCCAGAGGTCCTGATGATTCAAATTTGTTCTGGCTTCATCCTCCTCAAAAAAGACCTCATGGAAGAGGTTGGGAAGGAGCCTGTCCAATCTCAAGGTCTCTGTCAGCGTATCATGATTGTAAAAGAAAATGTAAGTGTGGAAATGTTCCGTGCCATCAGTTGGGGGATGCTCTTAGGGACAGCAGGAACTCCTTTTGCTCCCATCTCCTGCCTTGCTCTCTCCATCATCTCTTCCCTTAGCTTTCAGCCACTGGGTTCAGCTGATGCAGAGCAGGATCTTGGGATGGCCGCTCTCCTCCCTATCCCCACATTATCATCTCGGTGTGTTTTCAGTCAGCTGAAGCCTTTTTAATAGATGTGGCTGAATTATTCATCGTGCACAAATTAGCTGATGGGCACTGTCCTTCTGTGAGTGTTTATCATGCTGGTTTTTTTTCTTTCACATGGGCCATTAACTGGTTAGAGACTTTGGCCAGAACTTAGCAGTTTCCAGCCACTTGCTCAGATTGATTTTCCAAGGCCTTGGTTGGTGGCCTGTTTGGGAAGTTTTCTTTCTCCCATGGAGCAGTTTTTGCTCTCGTGGCACATAGCAAGTGCTCTCCTTGCAGGTTTCAAGCTGGAACAGGCATTGCAAATTGAACAATTTCTTGCCTTTTCCTTCTGTGAATAAAACATTGCAAATGGCCAGGGTGTAGCTGTGGGGACAGGAACTTTAACTGCATGTGGCCCTATGCAGGACCTTGTCTGTCTCTTGGGGCTTCTTATGCATTGCTGGTGTGAAACAGAAACTTGTTAATTTCATAGCTCTGAATGTGTCAGCTTCCCCATAGGGAAGACTTTGCTCTTTCTTATCCCTAAATATTCAAAATTCTCTTGAAAATGTAGTTCCCAGACATTGTCATTGCCTCCTTCCATCCCTTCAAGTTCTCTTACCTGATTTTCCCACCTGGGGACTCTACCCACATGTCTGCAGTCCCTCCCATCCTCTTGTGTCATGGGGGGTTTGGAGGTATTCCTGCAAAACCTCCCCAAAGGCTATTGTTGAACTTGTATCTGTGTGGAGGTATAGTTGCTAATGCCTGCTGTAAAGGTGCTCTAGTTTGGGGCTTTTGCTGATATCCCAGAATCACTGTTTGTAGGAGCTGCTGAGCACCCATTGCTCCTGTGCTGCTTTGCAGGGCTCAGTTCCCAGCATGCATGCACAGAGCTGCTTCCAGCCTCAGTATCTCTTCCTCTCCCTCTGCCATGAAGCCCTTAGGTTAATTTTTTCTGCCTTCTTTTGTTGTTGGTGGGTTTTTTTCCCCAAATTAGCTTGTTATTGCACTGCCCATGCTTGCTAAAGGTCACAAAATAAATACTGTGCCACTGTCTCATGTATCAAAGCTGCTTCCTCCATTAGCTTTTCAAGTGTTTTCAGACCGTTAGAACTGTCTCCTTGTTCTTTACTTTTGGTGATCAAAGCATCATTTATGTAATAATCACATACAGAATGTGCTTCATCTCCCCCAGCAGTTCCTGTGATGCTGTTCTTGGAGAGCACTGCCTTCTCTCCAATTTCTCTGGATCAGCTTAGGAGGGAAATGGTTAAATGTTTTATAAGAGGGAGGAAAATAGTAAAATGGGCCTTATTTGTTCTGTAATGAGACTCCAGGTACCAAGGCGAACAGTTACTGACTGTTTGTGAGCAAGCCCAGCAAATAGAAAACTGTCTTATACACTGTTCTCGAAAGCTGAAAGGTCGTAAAAAGGATTTAGCACTATCGCAGGAGACAACTTTGTTTAAACAGTGTCATTAGTCTCTTCGTAGCTCTTTTTATAGTGCTTTCTGCTGTGTTTTGTTGCTCTTTTTTTTTTTTTTTTTTTTTTTCCCCTCTCCTTTCTCAGTGTGGAAGTGGGTGCAACTTCCTTAAAGCCACCTGGTGCCGAGGTGGGCTGAGTCCTGCATGAAGTGGGGTCTTGGGGGAGAGGGACTGGGAAAACGGGCTGTAAGGAACTGGAGGTGATGGGATGGAGGCTGAGGAATGGCCCTCTGATTTTCTGTGTTGTGTGTTTCAGAGGTAAAAATCCCAAGGTTTGCGACTGGGAGAGACCATCCTGGTGCTTGCATCTCATGTGAGCTTGGACAGGCAGAGATCATTGGAGTCACATGCATTTTCCTCATTTGTAGCAGCAAGAATGGTGCTACGAGGGGCAGGAAGCGCAGGGGTGGCTAAAGAGAGCTCAACTATGTGAAAACAATTCAGGTTTGAAGCAGACCTTGGTGAAGGAGATGGGAGAGCTTCTGCACATAGACCCTGTAAGGGCAGGAGATGGCAGGAAAAAAAAAAAAATCTGTGAAAAGACTTTGCCAACAGATATGTCATTCAGGAGTGGTTCCTATAACCAACGAATGGCAAACAGTACTCTTTATGAAAGGAGGAGGAAAAGCAATCCAGGCAGCGAGTGGCTTTTCACAGTCTGCAAAGCTTTAGACAAATTGTGAAGGAAAGAATAATGGGATGAAAATAGGACCGGGTCCAATCCAGTCTTACAAAGGCACATTGAACCTGCTTGCCTTGATATTTTTTTGTTGGTAGGAGAACTGGTTCCCTCCACAAAAGAAAAATGCATTTCTTCTTTGGCTAGCTTTTGGTTAAGTAATATTTTGGGGATGTTTCAGTGGATGAAAAGAAATGAATCATCTGTGCTAAAAGACAGTGCTGGTGCTTGAAGAAGTATTAATATATAATAAAAAAAATAACCTAGGAAATGGGTTCTTAGCAGTTGGAAGAGAGGCTTTTGCTG